CCTTAAATGTAAACGGGCTAAATGCCCTATCAAAAGACACAGACTGGCAAATTGGATAAAAAGCCAAAACCCATCAATGTGCTGTATCCAGGAAACCCATCTCACGTGTAAGGACACACACAGGCTCAAAATAAATGGATGGAGCAAGATTTGCCAAGCAAATGGAGATCAAAAAAAGGCAGGAGTTGCAATCCTAGTCTCTGATAAAATAGACTTTAAACCAACAAAGATCAAAAGAGACAAAGAAGGGCATCACATAATGCAACAAGAAGAGCTAATGATCCTAAATATATATGCACGCAATATAGGAGCACCCAGATACATAAAGCAAGCTCTTAACAACCTACAAAGAGACTTAGACTCCCACACAATAATAGTAGGAGACTTTAACACTCCACTGTCAATATTAGACAGATCAACCAGACAGAAAATTAACAAGGATATCTAGGACTTGAACTCAGACCTGGACCAAGCAAACCTAATAGACATCTACAGAATTCTCCACCCCAAATCCACAGAATATACATTCTTCTCAGCACCACATCAAACCTACTCTAAAACTGACCACATAATTGGAAGTAAATTACTCCTCAGCAAACTCAAAAGAACAGAAATCGTAACAAACAGTCTCTCAGACCACAGTGCAATCAAATTGGAACTCTGGATTAAGAAACTAACGCAGAACCACACAACTTTATGGAACCTGAACCGACTCTTGAATGTTGACTGGTAAACAATGAAACGAAGGCAGAAATAAAGACGTTCTTCGAAACCAACAAGAATGAACACAATGTACCAGAATCTCTGGGATACATTTAAAGCAGGGTCTAGAGGAAAATTTATAGCAATAAACGCCCACATGAGAAGCAAGGAAAGATCTAAAATCGACATCCTATCATCAAAATTGAAAGAGCTAGAGGAATAAGATTAAAAAAAAAAAACTCAAAAGCTAGCAGAAGACAAGAAATAACTAAGATCAGAGCAGAACTGAAGGAGATATAGACACAATTATAAACATTAATAAATCCAGGAGCTGGTTTTTTGAAAAGAGTAACAAAATAGACAGGCCACTAGCCAGATTAATAAAAAGGAAAAGAGAGAAGAATCAAATAGATGCAAATGATAAAGGGAATATCAACACCAATTCCACAGAAATACAAACTACCATCAGAGATTACTGCAAACAACTCTATGTACATAAACCAGGAAACCTGGAAGTAATGTGTACATTCCTGGAAACTTGCAGCCTCCCAAGCCTAAATCAGGAAGAAGTAAAAACCCTCAATAGACCAATAACAAGGTCTGAAGTAGAGGCAGAAATTAATAGTCTACCAACCAAAAAAAAGCCCAGGTCCAGATGGGTTCATAGCTGAATTCTACCAGACATACAAAGAGGAGCTGGTACCACTCCTTCTGAAACTATTCCAAACAAGCCAAAAAGAGGGAATCCTTCCCAGATCTTTTTATGAGACCAACATCATCCTGATACCAAAAATTGGCAGAGACTCAACAAAAGAGAAAAACTTCAAGCCAATATCCATGATGAACATAGATGCAAAAATCTTCAATAAAATACTGGCAAACTGACTGCAACAGCATATCAAAAAGCTTATCTATTACAATCAAGTAGGCTTCATCCCAGGGATAAAAACTGGATCAACATATGCAAGTCTATAAACGTAATTCACCACATGAACAGAACCAAAGACAAAAACCACATGATTATCTCAATAGATGCAGAGAAGGCCTTGGACAAAACTTAACAGCCACATATGCTAAAAACTCTAAATAAACTAGGCATCAACAGAATGTTCTCAAAATAATAAAAGCTATTTACGACTATCACACAGCCAGTATCATACCGAATGGGCATTCCCTTTGAAATCTGGCACTAGACAAGGATGCCCTCCCTCCCCACTTCTATTCAATATAGTAGTGGAAGTTCTAGCCAGAGCAATCAGGCAAGAAAAAGAAATAAAACGTATTTGATTAGGAAAGGAGGAAGTCAAATTGTCTCTTTTTGCAGACGACATGATTGTGTATTTAGAAGACCCCCATCATCTCAGCCCCAAATTTCCTGAAACTGATAAGCAAATTCAGCAAAGTCTCAGGATACAAAATCAATGTGCAGAAATCACAAGCATTCCTATACACCGATAATAGACTTAAAGAGAGCCAAATCAAGAACCAACTGCCATTCACAATTGCTACAAAGAGAATAAAACAACTAGGAATACAACTAACAAACAATGTAAAGGACCTCTTCAAGGAGAACTACAAACCACTGCTCAACAAAATATGAGAGGACACAAACAAATGGAAAAACATTTCATGCTCATGGATAGGAAGAATCAATATCATGAAAATGGCCATACTGTCCAAGGTAATTTATAGATTCAATGCTATCCTAATCAAGCTACCTATGACCCTCTTCACAGAACTGTAAAAAACCACCTTAAGCTTCATGACCCAAAAGACAGCCCACATAGCCAAGTCAATTCTAAGCAAAAAGAACAAAGATGGAGGCATCATGCTACCTGACTTCAAACTATACTACAAGGCTACAGTAATCAAAACAGCATGGTACTGGTACCAAAACAGAGATATAGACCAATGGAATAGAACAGAAGCCTCGGAGACAATGCCACACATCTACAACCATCTGATCTTTGACAAACCTGACAAAAACAAGCAATGGGGAAAGGATTCCCTGTTTAATAAGTGGTGTTGGGGAAACTGGCTAGTCATGTGCAGAAAGCAGAAACTGGACCCCTTCCTGACAGCTTACCCTAAAATTAACTCCAGATGAGTTCAAGACTTAAACATAAGACCTGACACCTTACACTAAAATTAACTCCAGATGAGTTCAAGACTTCAACATAAGACCTAACACCATAAAAACCCTAGAAGAAAACCTAGGCATAACCATTCAGGACATAGGCATAGGCAAGGACTTCATGGCTAAAACACCGAAAGCACTGGCAACAAAAGCCAAATTAGACAAATGGGATCTAAATAAACTCCACAGCTTCTGCACAGCAAAAGAAACAATCATTAGAGTGAACCAGCAACCAACAGAATGGGAAAAGAAATTTTGCAATCTACCCATCTGACCAAGGACTAATATCCAGAATCTACAAAGAACTGAAACAGATTTACAAGAAAAAAAACAAACAAGCCCATTCAAAAGTGGGTGAAGGATATGAGCAGACACTTTTCAAAAGAAGACATACATGAGGCCAACAAACATATGAAAAAATGCTCATCACCACTGGTCGTTAGGGAAATGCAAATCAAAACCACATTGAGATACTATCTCATGCCAGTTAGAATGGCGATCATTTAAAAATCTGGACACAACAGATGCTGGAGAGGATGTAGAGAAATAGGAACATTTTTACGCTGTTGGTGAGAGTGTAAATTAGTTCAACCATTGTGGAAGACAGTGTGGCAATTTCTCAAGGACCTAGAAATAGAAATTCCATTTGACCCAGCAATCCCATTACTGGGTATATACCCAAAGGATTATAAATTGTTCTATTATAAAGACATATGCATACGTATGTTCATCACAGCATTGTTCACAATAGCAAAGACCTGGAACCAACCCAAATGCCCACTGACGATAGACTGGACAAGGAAAATATGGCGCATATACACCATGGAATACTATGCAGCCATAAAAAACGATGAGTTCGTGTCCTTTGTAGGGATATGGATGAACCTGGAAACCATCATTCTCAGGACACTGACACAAGAACAGAAAATCAAACACCGCATGTTCTCGCTCATAGGCGGGTGTTGAACAATGAGAACACATGGACACAGGGAGGGGAGCATCACACACCAGGGTCTGTTGGGGGGACTAGTGGAGGGACAGTGAGGATTAGGGAGTTGGGGAGGGATAACATGGGGAGAAATGCCAGATATCGGTAACAGGGATGGAGGCAGCAAACCACATTGCCATGTATGTACCTATGCAACAATCCTGCATGTTCTGCCCAGGTACCCCAGAACCTAAAGTGCAATGAAATATATATATAAAGGTCACTACCCCAAACAAAATCTTAACATCAGCATCTGAGACTTTAAACAGAGGTGCCAATGAAGCTGTGCCTAGACTGCTGACACAAAGAAACTAAGAGGTAATAAACTTGCTTTGTTTTAAGCCACTGATTTTTTTGTAATTTGTTAACACAGCAAGAGAAAACTAATACATCATGTTTACAAATCTTGCCAACATCAAACATTTGTTTTCTTAAATGCTAAGCTGCTTTTTCCATATAATGTAGCAAACAAGTTTCAATTTTTATGAAATCTGAACGTTTCATATTTGATATAAAAGTCTTTTATCTCTCAGCTTATTTGGTTAGATTCAAAATATATCTGAATGAGAAACTGTATTTAAAGTATATTTCCTTAGCTTTTTGAATAGTATTTTTAAAACAACATTTTCGAAAATATTTATATTATGTGCTTAGGAAAAGGGCTGCATATTTACCATACTTAGTTCTCTTTTCAATATTTATGTTAATCACTAAAGTATATCAAAAATATATCACATTGTGAAAGCATTTTCACTCACTGTGTGAACATTTTCAAACTATGTAATATGGGGAGAAAGAAGAGATATACCAATTTCACAATCAAAAAAAAGTTATATAAGATTAGGCAATAAATTTTCCCACACAACAATCTGTTTATAGAGTTATATCTGTTATTTAGATGGGAGCAAATTTGGGGAGAATAGTTTAGCGAGATCACTCATCCAAGTTAGGGGGCAAAATAAACTGCCATTACGTTTTCAGAATATAACAATTAACATTTTCTTCTGTGCTTTTGTCAAGCAGGAATTTGTAATTAAGTAAATTCATAAACAAGCACTCAGGATGTATGTTCATATTACATTTGCTTTATTGTACAATTCCAAATAAAGTTTGGTCTTTTAAAAAGAAATACACTTAAAAAAAAATGAAGAAATCAACTTTAAGATAGCCTACCTTCCATATTCAAAGTTCCCATTTTAGATTCCAAGAAATCAAATAATGTGCTTGGTGCTGATGGCCTTGCATTTCCCAGATCCTCTTCATCTTCAGATCTTACTCGCCCCCTGCCTTTTCCTCTACCTTTAGATGTAAAAGCAAGAAATATGCACTGTATAAGCAGAAACAAAAGGAGAATATATACTAATACATAAAAACAATTTTAAATAGGGATTTTAATTTCTTTTCATATTTTTGTATAGTCTACATCTTTATAAAACCGTTTTTAAGTAATTAAGTAGCACATTTAATCCCCTAAATAAATGATCTATTCAGAAGTTTGAATTTGTTCATATAAACTATCTTTTAAGGAAAAATTATAAATTTATTCTTTAACCACAGATATTCTTAAGGGAATATAGGGCTGGGACCTGAAATACCACATAACACATTGATCATGTAATGATTAAATAATTACACCAAGTAAATGTATTATTTTTGTTAATTTGTAAAAGCTTAGTCATTTATGCAGGTGGCAGAGTTGCTGAAATAATAGAACCAGTCACATATTTTCTCCATTACTCATAACAACCTAGTTAAATATGGCCTTATTAGACACATTTTGTTTTTTTTTTGTTGTTGTTGTTAGACCCATAAAGATGAAGACGATGAGACTGACACTAAAAATATCTCTATGGTTCCCAAACTGGTGTTCCTTCCACTTACCAAAACATTAAATAAAGGTACAGTCCTTACAGCTATAACAGCTGCTGTCAATAACATATATTCCTCTGAAAAGCAAACAACACTATCTGGCACACGGCTTAATAAGTTATACCTCTCAGAGGAGGACCTATAACAGGTTTCTGTTTATTGCTGTTAAGAAGTACGTTCAATGCTGCTTCTAAGTTGTTGCCATTATCCATAAGAGCTTGCCTCGATGCGTCCTTACTGAAGCCCATTTCCGTTATGTGCTTCAGAGCTTTCTCATCAACCTGTAAGGAATAAAGAGAAAAGCTGGCTGATAGCCCACAGATAAGGCAAGGCATAAAATTTTAACTATTTACTGTCTTTTAACTAAAAATTACATCTCATACTTATGTAAAAATGTCATTCTAATACAACATTCACTTGCTGATTTTTTACAAGAGGCAAGGAAGAATCTGTATGATATGTGGGATTGTGCCTTGAGTACTCTCTGACCTTACAAGTACCACTGCAAAAGCAACACACACAAAAACAATTTTATGGTATGTTAGAGAATGGCCTTTGAAAATAATATAGATGGTGAGGAGAAAACTATCTAATTAAAATTTTTCATGGTAACAATGTAAATTTTTGATACTTCTCCATACTAGAAGGGAAATGTAATTCATACAGCACCTCTCCAAAAATGTAAAGTATTGAAGCTAACAAAATGATACCCCCTCAGTAGCCTTTTTTTTTTTTTACTATTACTTGAGAATTCTATTCCATATTCATTAGCAATGCTATCTATGATGCTTTGACAGCTATACCCCAATAGGAAAATCTACTTTACAAATGCCAGAATCCAAATCTCTTTTAAAAATCTAGACCTCAATAGAATTCAAGAACCACCTAAGCAGTATAAACATATCCTACAGAGAAATTTCTTGAGCCAAACCTAGCAGAGAAAAACATACCTTTAACTTTTATACATCTAGTAGTTACATAAATAGGCTTTTAGTTAGCCTACACATAGCATGCATGTGGCAGACACACAATAAGACGTCTACGCAGACTCTTAAAAAAAGACCAGTACATTTTTCCAAACCCTGTGTCATAGAATTCTTCTAAACACAGTAGCTACTATCAACAGATAAGAGTTGACATGAGAGAAAATCTACTTACCATCCGTGCTGTATACATGCTAAAGTAAATGTAAAAACACCTATAATTTATCTTTCTTATTCAAAAACTAATGTGAATGTAAAAAATAATTAAATCTTTCCTTCTCCAAATTATCTCCCAAATAAATATATAATTCAGAATATTGTCCCATACATAGCACTTCACCAAAAAATATTTTAAATGAGCCATTTATAACCCTTAAATAGGTCTAACCTGTTGAACTCATCTAGTGAAATTTTAATTTCAGCTATTAGCTCCAGAATACATACTCGGTTTCTTCTGATAAATTTCTGTCTCTTTTTTGATATGCATTACTTGTTCATACATTGTTTTCCTGATTTCTTTGGTTCTTTGTCAATGGTTTCTCTCAGATCTTTGAACATATGTAAGACAGTTCATCTGAAGTCTTTGTCTAATTAAGTCGAATGACCGGGATATTTCAGGTATGGTTTCAATGGATTTCTCTTTTTCTTGTGAATGGGCTCAACTTTCCTGTTTCTTTGTAGGCTTTATAATTTTTGGTTGGGAACTACTGGACATTTTGAATCTTGTAATTAGGCAACTGAAAGTCGGATTATGCCCCCTCCCCAAGGATCACTTCTGTTACTTGATGAAGGTTACAGTCATCAATTTGCTTAGTGACTTAAAACTTTTTTCCCACGAGAAATACATTCCTTGAGATTGTGTGGCCACTGAAGTCTCTGTTCCTTCATCTCCATGGTCAGCCAGTGACCACCATTCCTTCATCATTTACTTACCCTGGATGCCACAAGTGTTTGACTAGGATCCAGAGTTCTAAAATAATTGCTTTGGACAGTGCTTGCCAGCTCAACAGTTGCTTCAGTAGAGGGGCAAATTCCTTGAACTACCTTCTCTATCATCTTTATGATGTCATTTCTTTCATATGTTTTCAATCTCACAACACACCCCAATCAGCTAATGTTCTCTTGTGTTCTTTGTCAAGACATCTCCAAAGAAATATTCTTCAATTTACTCAAGTTTAAGAGATTCTTAAGTTAGGGACCATATATTTTTTCAGCTCACTGTTTCCACTCTGTCTTGCATTTAAACCTTGATTTTTTATTTTATTTTTAAGAATGAGATGGACTTATATTCAAGGAATAGGTAGCCTGCCCTTAATGATAAACTCATTCCCCTTGATCAGTGATTGATTTAGGAAGTTCCAGTCAAGAAGATATAAATGGAAATCAGCTGAATATTTGAGAAAAAATTTTCTTCTCTGATAAAATAGACCTTCAACCAGGTAAATAGTCCCCTTTCTTTCCTGTCTTGAAATTTTGTGTTAAGATTTACTGCATGGAGAATCCTAATGATACAGGAATTAAGAAGAAATTACTTAAGCAGATAATAAGAGTACAGAAGTCCTCGGTCAGGTTTCCCTTTTAATGAAAAACAGCACCAATTTTCCTTTCTAACAAAGAGCAGCCTATAAAATTGAGCTGCAGATATAGATGCTGGCAGTTGTGCCAATCATGTTCAAGATGGTTGCTTCATTGTCCCTTCTCTTTGTCAGCTACACGTACAATAAGCAGCAGACGACATGGCGGACATGGCGCCAGCAGAAAGGAAAGTTCATTTGCATGATAAGATTAGGGTGGGGTGGCCAGCCTTCCCCAAGGACTATGTAAACATCATACCAGATCAAACCAATCTGTGAGCCTTACACAAATCAGACATCCCCTCCTCGAGCCAGATTATAAAATTCTGAGAGAAAAAGAACACCCTGCAGCGGTTGCTGAATATTATAGTCTGGCCCTCTCACTAGAGAGAAAGCTGTTTTCCTTTCTCTTCCTTTTTCTACTGCCTATTAAACTTCCACTTCTAAACTCCTCATGTGTGTCTGTCTCCTAAGTTTTCCTGGCACAAGATGACAAACCCCAGGTATCTACCCCAGACAATGGAGCCACTTCATATTGAGGACCTCATTCAGGATAATATTGAGGACCTCATTCAGGATACCAAGGTATTAACATTCATCGAAATGGTGAGTAGAGAAGTGGACTCCAACTCTGTTCTTTCATTTTGGGACTCTTGGCCTCCATTTTAGAACCAAATCAACAAATACTGTCTCCCCGCCCCCCTCTTCAGTCATTTAAAAATAATTAGCATGGCTGCCAGCCATGCACCAAGACTTGGGGGACCAGCTTGCTGGGGAGAACATGGAGAATCCCCCAGTACCCACAGGTTGCTGGGCATGAAAGCCATGATTGAATCAGCTTCCTTTCATGGAGGATTTAGCTGTCACATGGGGCTGGAAGATATTCTGGAGCAACTGAGGATGTCCGGCTGAGGCTAACTCCCGGTGCTATCCAAAGGCTTCTGGACTGACCCAGCCTCCAACCACCCAATGGGGCACTGGCAGCAGGATCTCCAACTTGCTGTTTTGGGAGAAAAAAAAGCCACTCTTTTCTTTAAGAAACCCCAAGAATTAAAAGCATTTGATAAGATAAAGCTAGAGGTTTAAGCAAGTTATAAAAAGATTTTTAAAATTAATCTTGCAAAAAATGTGTAAACATTAACTAAATTCAAAAAAGTATTATATGATCTTTTTATAAATTGAGCATTGAAATAAAAGCACAGCAAGGTTGTCTTAAGATGCCAGGGTCATAAAAGGTTTGTAAAGATTTCACCTCATGGTCAAACTGGTTAAGACTTGATGGAATCATCTATAAGGTTTTGTTTAAACAAATTGGGATTAACATTAATAAACTAATGCAAGGATAAAAACTGGGCTTTCAACAGGATTTTCATGTAACAGTAAAGGTTAATGAAAGGTTTTTGCTTTTTGAGTCATCATTTTGGCAAAATAAATAATGTGTGGCAATATGGAATTCTATTTCATAACATCAAGTCGTTTAAGTCCTCCAACATTTAGCAGGCTTCCCAACATCGAACTTCAAGTTTTAAAATTGTCTTTCCTGATGCCTTGCTTTCAAACAGAATTGTTTGACATGTGTAGTTACATGAGATTACCCAAATGATGTTCATTTGCAATATTCTTTAAGTTATATTTTGGCAAATAATACAAATATATGTTCCAAAATTGTACAGAATTTCTAAAATTCTAATGTCTAAGTATATGCTATTAATTAAGGTTGTCAAGTTATTCTAAATCACAGATAACTAAACTTTATCAGTCATGTTTTTAACTGTAACTAGGTTGGAAATTTTGTCATTTGCAGACAATTCTTGTCTTGCTTTGTTCCTTCTCAAAAGATGGGTTACAATCAAGCTATAAGACTTTAACAGGTGCTCTCAAATGTAGGATTCTACTAGCTTGAAGATTGTAACACTGGAATAGAGGAAAAATATACAGGACTCAGAAGAGCTGAAACGTTCACAAGTGTCAAACAAAACAGAAGTTAACGAAATGGACTGAATTCAGAGAGCTAACGCAACCTTTTGATTTTTCTTAGAATATTCCTGATCCTTGTTTGTTTTTCAAAGTCAAGGAAACTTATTTTGAACTATTTATGGCCTTTAATAATTGAGTAAGGTATAGTCCTGTGAACAAAGCATGTTTGTTTCTCTCTGCCTGGTTCCTCTAGAATTTGGAAACTATCTTGAGACTCTTATCACAATATAGTTGTTTGCATGAGTGCAACAGGAATCCATTTTCCTTTTGCAAGATGACATAATTAGAAAAACTGGTTATTTTACCAAGGCTTTGACTAGAGGGATATGCTTCCCTTTAAGGAGGCAATCTCGACTTGCAGAGACAATAAAAGTCCCATGGAGAGAACTGGTCTCATACCTATATATAGAGTCCCTGTACAGGGTTCCTAACCTATGATCAATAAAGAAAGTCACTTTCTATCAGGACCAGGAGCTCCCAGTTTATCTTGGGGCCTTTAGAGGAGAGGATCACCCAACTCACAGGTATCTGAAGATACAAACCCATGGCTAGGCATAGCCTTAAAAGATCTTATCTGAAATTCCTTGTGGAACAGAGTTCCATCAAAGACAATCCAAAAGGCCTATGCAGAAATAATCATTCTTGCTGCACTTTATGCAAATAATCAGGCCAAGTATAAGACTAAAGTTTATTCTATGAAAAACAGAGTCCTAACATAATTTATTTTTACCAAAAATGAGGACTAGAGACAAAAATTATGCTCCATAGCTTATAAATTTCTTATTAAATTCCAGTCTCATTAATTGTTTTTAAGTTTCTTTGCCAACATTTTAGACTAACCCTGCTTATTCCTGTGATTCAAGTGGTGATCTCCTACAGCTTGGAAGAAACAAAAAGGGATGGGTAATATAAAAATCTGGATCAATATTCTAGTTCTGGGCAATTATCCTGAAAATTCTGTCAGGTAATGAAAGTGAGCAGGGTGCCCATAACCCAGAGGGTCATTTAGGAAGATAAAACCAAGGAACTTTACAGACCCCCAAAGGGAAATTCTTTATCTTAGCAAGTAAAATTTTAGATGTAAATAATGTACTACACTACACTTGTGGGAAATTATGTACTACACTACATCTAGGAGATCAGCTGAGGCTATAAGATTCAAACTGCTCCTAAGATCAGTGCTTGAGATATTTTGCAGACCTTGTACTTTATGGATCAGCTGGCGACACCCTGATGGATTAACTGACTCATCTGACCTTGTGGCCTCCACCCAGGAACTGACTCAGTGCAAGAGGACAGTTTCAATTCCCATGATTTATCTCCTGCCTAACCAATCAGAACTCCTGATTCACTGGCTTCCCCCAACCCACCAAGTTGTCCTTAAAAACTCTGATCTGTTGTGTAAAAGCACATCCAAAAAAACACTCTGATCTGATCCTGAGGGGCACAGTGGCTCACACCTGTAATCCCACCACTTTGGGAAGCCAAGGTGAGTGGATCACCTGAAGTCAGGAGTTTGAGACCAGCCTGGCCTACATGGTGAAACGCCATCTCTACTAAAAATACAAAAAATTAGCTGGGTATTAGTGGCAGTTGCCTATAATCCCAGCTACTGGGGAGGCTGAGAAGACAGGAAAATCACTTCAACCCAGGAGGTGGAGGTTGCAGTGAGCCAAGATTGCACACTGTACTCCAGCCTGGGCAACAAAAGCAAAACTCCATCTCAAAAAACAAAACTCAAAACCTCTGATCCCTGAATGATTGCTGAAACTAATTTTAGTAATAAAACGCCAGTCTCCCACAATAGCTTGCTCTGCGTGGATTACTCTTTCTCTATTGCAATTCCCCTGTCTTGATAAATCAGCTCTATTTAGGCAATGGGTAAGGTGAACCCATTGGGCAGTTACATAACCCTAAGGAGAAAGCCAAGAAATCATGGAAATATCCACGAATGCTCTGATATTGTTATACTCCTGAATTTACCAACATTTGTTGGTAATTCTAAACTTCTTGTTATATGACATAGTAAACCTCCATGGTTTAAGCTCTTTTGGATATTCTGTACTCTAAGGACAAAAATCAACCAGTCATTCACCTATAAAGGCAAAGGAAAATGAATTTTTGCCAACATCCTTAGATCTGAAAACGTTGCAGCATATCAGAAATATGTTTGACTCCTCTTTTATCTTAAAAATTCAGGTATGTTTTGCAATTAGGTCCACATAACACATATGCTTGCTTCACAATATTCTTACCAAAAAGGAGTAGAAAACAAAACAAAATCACTTTAGACAAAATTTGACAAAAGATGTGGGGAAGCACAGAAAAATGTATATCTTCAACGCATCATCTTTTGATGGCTTTTTATTAATCCATTCTAAAACATAATATTTGGACATTAGTAATTTAAGTGAGATAGAAGTTTTAAGTAAATTATTTTTCAAACAATCCAAATTTTTAATGATTTAATTGTAATCCTTAATGAATGTCTTCAAGAGTTATAACATCTATCCATAATACATTGCACAAAGCCAGTGGTGGTAGCGAGAAAGAATAAAAGAATCATTTAAAGAAAAACACTTTAAATTTGTAATTGGTTTTTTGGCCTTACCAGTTCTCTGTAGACACCTTCATGTTTTCCCTCTGATTTGGTTGACTTTTCTTTCTGTAAAACTTCCCTATTTCGGTTACCAGCAGCATTGGTATTGAGATTACTTCTAGCACCACCACCACCTCCTCCAAATGTCTTAGTCTTTAGATAAGAGAAAGATAAAAGAGAGGTACGTAAACATTTAAAAATGGCTCTAAAACCTCAGCTATGGCTAAAAACAACTGAAGTAATTAAAAGTTTCTCAATTGTGTTTTATACGAAAAAATAAAATATTAACTTATTTTTTTGGATAGCAAAAATATCTGCTAGTCACAATCTCTTTTATTCATAAATCCAGGCCAGGCAATAAAAATAATTACAATTTGTGAATAAAAGGGAAGTAATGAAAATTACAACCATAGAGAAGAAAATAATACAAGCATTGTGAAGATTACTTGTTAAAATGATTTTAGAGTAAAATACTTGACTACTGTCTTGAGACTTGGGTTCTAAATCCAGCTATCAGGCAAGATTATCTTTGGATAACCAGGCAGTATTTACATTTAACTCAAATCAAAATTAAAACCACTTCTTCAATTACCAAAGACTCATTAACGGATTCATTAAATTTTTGGTTTATGGCATCCCAGCAAAAAAAATATATCTGAAATGCCTTCACAGTCATTGCTTGCATAACTAGAGAAATGTATTTACTAATGCGATACAAAATTTATTAGACTAGGAAACAAGGCAGCACAGGTAAGCACATAGGCTATGGAACTAGACAAGGCTGGGACTAATCTTGGCCCAGCCACTATCTTTAGCGTTCAGGCAGGTCACTTAACTTCTACCTTCCGTGGAGCCTCAGGCTTTTCATCTTTAAAACGGGGATTAGAAAACCTACCTCACTGGGATATTGGTAGGATTAAATGACAACATCGATATTAAGTTATTATCTCAGTAGCCAGCACATGGCAAACACTCAATAACAGACGGTAATTACTATTTTGGTTAATATACTAGAACAAAATTACCTGAAAACTCTGTTACCTGAGCTGCTCCAAATTCAGGATATTTTCAAATTTTACATTCCGTAATTCCGAAAGTGCTTTTTCTTTTGGTGCCGGTGAAACGGCCCCATCTTCTGGATGCATTTACTTATAATTTTCTTTCCATTTTATGGATTAAGGAATAGGATAAGTAGCATTTTCAGAGTCACTTTTCACTGCTCTAAAAAACTTACTACTTATTAATGTAAATATCTAGAACCATCACAACCTAAATATTACCCAAACATTATTACTACCTGTCCTTTATGAGCCACACCTTCTTGTTCATATGTGAATTAGGCATCCATGATAATCATGACTATGAAACTCAAGTGGGCCTTAATGCTGTCTAGCAATCTTACCATGTTTCCCTAGGCCATTCATATTCCTAAACATCTAAAACACTATTTTACATGTTCTCACTTCTCAAACTCTAACACCTTCTTTCACATCACTGTTAACCATGCTTACTTCCTTACTGAAAAACAAAACCTGAAATAATCATTAAAGAACTCACATAGATTTTGACCACATCAACCCACACACTGGTACATGCATGATTACACTTTATCTTAACCCCATATGATTTATCGTACCACCAACCTTATGAATGTTAAGAAAAATGAGGATGGAATAAACAACCTCCTCAATTCTATAGCAATTCTAAGTCCTTATGTTATGTAACTTTTAAATTGCCTTTGATAAGTTTAACACTCCCTTCTCCATAATACATTTTCTGCATTGTCTTGTTTTTATCCTGTTACTGGTCATACCTTGGCTGGTTCCACTTCTGCCATCTAGGCTCTAAGTTCAAGTTGAAGTGTTACAGGTTCATTACTTAGCCTTTTCTGTTCTCTATCAATGCTCATTCCTTTGGTGATCTCATTTGGTCTCATAATTTTCAATACCATCCAGATGTCTACAACTCTCAAATGCATGTGTCTACTTTAAAGCTCACCCTTCAGTCTTATTGTCTATTAAACATTATTACTACCTGCATGTCTGGTAAGTACCTCAATATTCACATGTTCAAAATGGAGCGCCAGATCTTCCTCTCCTCACACCTGGTTCACTCCAGGCTTCATTTCAAGGCAAGAAACTCTAACCTGCCAATTTCTCTGGGTAAAACTATTGGATTTTTTTTTTTTTTTTTGAGATGGAGTTTCACTCTTGTTGCCCTGGCTAGATTACAATGACGCAATGTTGGCTCACCGCAACCTCTGCCTCCTGGGTTCAAGCAATTCTTCCGCCTCAGCCTTCTGAGTAGCTGAGATTACAGGCATGTGCCACCGCACCCAGCTAATTTTGTATTTTTAGTAGAGATGGGGTTTCTCCATGTTGGTCAGGCTGGTCTCAAACTCCTGACCTCAGGTGATCCACCTGACTCAGCCTCCCAAAGTGCTGGGATTACAGGCATGAGCCACCACGCCTGGCCAGATTCATTCCTGATACCATATCTTCTCATGTACCCTATATTGAATCTCAGTAACCCTAATGGCTCCTTTAAAATTCCAGAATCTGACCACTCTGCACTACCTACACAACTGCTGTATTTGTCCAAGCCATAACCATTTTTTAAAATCCTGGATTACTTCAGTAATTCTCTACTTATTGGATTCCAATTTTCCTTCTCTACAACCAAGTCTGAACACAACAGCTAGAATTAACCTTTTTTTTTTTTTTTTATACCAAATGTCACTCTGTTGCCCAAGCTGGAGTACAGTGGTGCAATCTCGGCTCACTACAAACTCCACCTCCTGGGTTCAAGTGATTCTCGTGCCTCAGACTCCCCAGTAGATGGTACTACAGGAACGCGCCACCATGCCAGGCTAATTTTTTTGTATTTTTAGTAGAGACGGGGTTTCACTACGTTGGCCAGGCTGGTCTTGAACTCCTGACCTCGTGATCCACCCGCCTCGGCCTCCCAAAGTGCTGGAATTACAGGTGTGAGCCACCACGCTGAGCCTAGAATTACCCTTTTAGAATATAGGTCAGCTGATTTTAATTGCTGTGCTCAAAACATTCCAAAGGCTCCTGTTTCTCCTTGAAGGAAGTATAATGTCTTTATAATAGTTTACAGGGCCCTACATAAGTTAACCTCTATTATCTCTCTTGACTTTATCTTCTACTGCTTGTCCCTTTGCTCTCTCTGCTTCCATTGGCCACTCTGCTGTTTCTCTGTGCTCCTGCTTTAGAGCCTTTGCCATGGCTTTTCCTTCTGCCTAGAATACTCTTGCTCAGATAACCAAGTAGCTAATTCTCTTATTCCTTCAAGTTTTGACTGAGCTCTCACTATCTTGAGGCCTAAACAGACTATTATATTTAAAATTGCAATCTGCTTATTTAGTATGTTTACATTATTTATGATTCAGATCTTCTATGTTACATATCCATTGAGTCCTACAATTATCACTGGATAACCTTGGGCAAGTTCCAAGTTTGTTTGTTAGTTTTGAGCCTCCATCAGCTCTCTCATTTATAAATTGATATGTTCTGATATCTGCTGTAAAAAAAATCTAAGATGCTTTAATTATCAAATATTTATGGGAAAACATCAATTGTGACAACAAAAAGAAGCACCTTACAATAGATTAACTATGCTCTAATAAATAGACAGCTATAACCACATCCAACAAAATCCTAGGTAGAAAAGTTCATTTGAGATAAACGTAAATCAAAAGAACATCTTTCTGTAATCATTTTAAAAATATGTATTTTCAGTATCTTCTGAAACTCCACAATTTTATCTCTTATTGGAACAATAAGTATATTTCATGTAAGTTATGTAAAATGTATTAATTTAAGAAATGGTAAAACTGGATTTTTAAAAGTATGCCTTGGATAGAGGAACAAGTGAAGAACAGCGATAGTCATGCTTATTGAGAGCTCTGAGCAAGTGTTATGATCTGTGTCAGGTAGTAGCTGTATTAGTTCTAAATGTTTTATTCTCACATATGAAGTAGGTACCATTATTATCTCCGAATTTCACAAATTAGAAAAAAAGGGGTGGGGGAATATAAAAAGCTGAGTAACTATCCAAAAGTGTCAGCAAGACATGCTTTCAGGCTGTGATTCCAGAGCTTGTGCGTCTGGCCCCTCACTAGACTGACAACAGAAAGACCCTGCAGGAAGAACAACCAAAATTCAAGAAGACTACTGCTTACTTCAGAATTAAATAGGAAAGCAATTGTAAGCTAAGATTCATTACAGATTCTGAATAAAGGAAACAATTTCAATCTTACTGGTTAAGAAATGTCTATGTAGCAACTAATTTATGACCTAAAATTTCTTATCACAGTATAAGAGAAATCAATAAGTAACTAGAAAAACACCTATTACAAATAAGCCAAAAAATTCTAAATAATGAAAAGAGAGCCTTTGGTTATCAATAATATAAGAGGGAGGGGTTTGTTACTTCAGGATGTTGGTCTGGGCAAAGTTTTTTGGATAAGACTTCAAAAGCACAGGCACGCAAGTAAAAATAGACAAATGAGATTGTATCAAATTAAAAAGCTTCTGCACAGCCAAGAATACAATCAACAGAGTGAAGAAACAACCTACAGAATTAAAGAAAATAATGGCAGCCGGGCGCAGTGGCTCATGCCTGTAATCCCAGCACTTTGGGAGGCCGAGGCAGGTGGATCACGAGGTCAAGAGATCGAGACCATCCTGGCCAACATGGTGAAACCCCGCCTCTACTAAAAATACAAAAAAAATTAGCTGGGCGCGGTGGCGTGCGCCTGTAGTCCCAGCTACTG